TACTAACCCCTAGTACCTCAATAAAGTTGATTTTTAAGAACACTTAGATTGGGCTTCCCTGGTGGCGCAGTGGTTGAGAGTCCGCTTGGCGTTGCAGGTGACACGGGTTCGTGCCCTGGTCCGGGAGGATCCCACATGCCGCGGAGTGGCTGGGCCCGTGAGCCATGGCCGCTGAGCCTGCACGTCCGGAGCCTGTGCTCCGCAAGGGGAGGGGACGCAACGGTGAGAGGCCCACGTACCCAAAAAAAAAAAAGAACACTTAGATTAAAAAAGAAGTCATGGCTCCTTGGAGGAATGTCTGATTCCAGATCTGAGGCAGGAAATCTCCAGGATGAATTTGGAACATCTTGTACAGAAAACAGGGAAGTTTCCACAATTAATAGGTCATATCCAAAGGACTTAGGAGCCACCATGAAGTAATCCTCTGGCCAAAGATGGAGAAATTTTAGCATTAAAAAATTGCCACTCACTGAATATATAAAAAGCCATGAGTTCATAAGGATATTTTTTAAATGAGAGAGAATAAGGTAAACAGCAACAACAAAAACAAGCTCAGCTTCACTAAACACCAATCGAGATTGCAAAGGCATTAATTCTTACTTACAAAGGCAGCAACTGAAAAGGAAGAATTATCTATTATCTTACCTTTTCTGAACAATTTGGTAATTTAGGTACCAAATAGCCCTAGGAGATTAAGGGGAGTCCTCTTTACAGAATTTCAGTTAATAAATGTGGAAAGAATGATAGATTAGTGCAGCTACCATTTTATAATCCCCAAAACATTAACTGACTCTGCTCACCAATGGGTGAAACCATTGGACGAATGTGGTTTTTTCGTCTTTTTTAATTTATTTATTTTTATTTTTGGCTGTGCTGGGTCTTTGTTGCTGCGCGCGGGCTTTTCTGTAGTTGCGGTGTGCTAGCTTCTCATTGAGTTGGCTCGCAGAGCTCTAGAGCACAGGCTCAGTAGCTGTGGCGCATGGGCTTAGTTGCTTCACGGCATATGGGATCTTCCCGGACCAGGACTCAAACCCATGTCCCCTTCATTAGCAGGTGGATTCTTAACCACTGCGCCACCAGGGAAGCCCTAGACAAACGTTGATGGGAGAGTCCTCATTGGGAGAGAAGGCTGGGCACCACAAGAACCTGTGATTAATCTTAACATCACACAAGTGCAACAATTGGACACCAAGTGCCGCCTGGTGTGAAGTTACCTGTGGCTTGATTGGATTCAGGTTCAGCTCTTTTGGTAAGTAGACTTTGCAGGTGACATACTTAATCATGAAGGAATGAAAGATGATATATGGGATTTACTTGAAAACATAGAGATAAAAGAAAAATGGTTAGGTGGCACATAATTGGGCAATCTTAATCGCTGAATCTTGATGAAGGGAATTGGGGGTTCATCACCCTTTTCTTTCTACTTTTGTGTTTATAGTTTTTCATAATAAGTTGTTTGCAGGTATTTATCTTAGACATAAGGGAGCATTTGTTTATGGAAATAATAGAAAGACTGAGAAAGTTCCTTCCTTGGTCATCTGTTCAAAATCAGAACAAACCCAAGAGGCAGACACCTCTCCAGAACTGTTCAGCTCACAAAGGTGTTCATTTCTCTGAGAACTAGTACGCCCACTCCCTGCCCCAAACCACCTACTGACCACCACTGCCCTGGACCCAGTGCCAGACCATAGCTAATTTCACTAGAGGGACACCAGGCCCAAGGTAGTCCAGTCAGATTTTTGCTGCCAAAGACTTAAAACTGAGATTCAAAATCTGCTTGTCATACTCTGCTGTTGGAGAACTATGGAGTTAGGGAGAACTATATTCTGCCCAGTGAACTGGAGAAACAGAGAAAGCTGATAGGGGTGGCGGGGTGGAGGGAAAGAAGCAGATGTAGCATTCTGCCAGCATTCTCTGCCCTGTAGTCCTCCTCTTGGGCTTTGTAAGAACCCCTTCTCACAAGATAGTAAATTTTGTTCAAGGGAGCTCTCTGTCACAGACTAGCCTTGGGTGCAGGACATCAAGGCCTTACCCACCAGTGAGTTGGTCAGATGAGAGCCTGGGAACCAGTGGACATGTAGGACATCACTGGAGACTGTCCCTCGGTGGAGGGGCCTTTGGACTCATGGAAGGGTTAAGTCTCTCATCATTTAAGGAAATTTCTGCCTAATGACTCTTTAACTTAATTACATTAGCTTTTTTTTCTTACTATTTTTAATAAAACTCTTCAACTATTAAAAAAAAAAAAAAAGGTGGGTCTCTATGAGACCCACTTCTTACATGACAGTAAATTTTGTCCCCCGCCCTGCCCTTTTTTTTTTTTTGGTCTAAAGCTGGGACTTCCCTGGCAGTCCGGTGGTTAAGACTCTGCACTTCCACTGCAGGGGGCACGGGTTTGATCCCTGGTCAGGGAACTAAGATGCTGCACGCCGCACGGTGTGGCCAAAAAAAAAAAAGAAACAATCATCATAAAGCTGTCTCTAGTAAGTCACTGTAAAGGCAACAAAAAGAATCCTTAGTAGTACAACTGCCTTTAGCTTTATCTGGCTTAATTATAATACCTGCTTGGAGCACGTGTGTGGGCTAAATAGCTTCCTTTCCGTTCATAATTCCAGGTCTCCATAACTAAAGGGGTTAGAGTGTACACCCCACCCCTCAAAAAACATTGCTTCGCTTTGACTTGAAAAACGTCTTTGATAATACGAACAAACCTTGCTTAACTATTTGTAAATGGATATGAGAAAGTTGCAAAGGTAGGTGTCTGAAAGACCTTTCCCCTCTGATAACGACACTTGATCAGTTCAGAAGTGACAAAGGACAAAGTGACAAGGCAATCAAGGAAATGTTGCCTCAAGAAGCAAATAGGCAGGGTTACTAAAGGCCTAACACATCATAGCTTCTGAAGTCTACCTTTGGATTCTTCAGATCTGGAAGTTCTCTAAAGCTATAATTTACGTGGGTGGGTTGAGTGTGATAGCTACATGTCCCACAAGGGAAGAAATTTTTGTCTGTTTGTTCAAATATACCTCATGTGTCTGGCACATAATTGACATCCAATAAGTGTTACTACATGAAGTTACAGCCTTTGCAAGTTTTTAAGCCCAAACAAGGTCTGACCCTAATGGAGCCCTCCAAATGTCAATATAGAACAATTCTCAGTCCTGTATTTCCTGGAACACACTTGAGAAATAGCTCTGCAAGCTGATAATGACAAAGGAGTCGTCATAATAAATCCAAATAAAGAAAAACTGCAGTATTTTATCTTTTAAAGGAACACAGCCAATCCTGGGGTCATCATATCAAAATCTTCTAACAACAATCCCCAAAGTTCTTTCTCAAACTGTGGACAGGGAAATGGGCCCTTGAAGGTTTCAAGGGAACGAAAGAGGCACAGCAGATTTCCAGTGACGAACGGTGAGAATGTGTGAATGGTGGTCAGGCAGCATCTACGGCTTTTATTCACATCTAATTTCTCTTCTCTGACCTCAAGAGGGGCTGTTATTCCCCTCCTGTCTTAGATGATCCTGGAAATTAAGTCTTTGAACAGTGAGCTCACTCAAAGAAGTTCCCTTGTTTTTGCAAAAAAAAGTCCAGTGGTGCTTCCAGGATAGAAGTAGTTCCTGCAGTGCCGTCCTGAGACTGTACGGAATTTGAGCTAACTCATTTGACTGAGGACCCAAGTAGACTTCAGGTGAGGTACAGAGATAATGCTGGTGAACCTGAAGAGGATTTGGGGAGGCCAGTATGATACTTACCATTTTCACCCTACATTTGTGCTATATTATTTATCTTAGTCATTATTTTTAGTCCAAAGTCTTTTGCATACTCTCCATGAATGAAGAAAGTGAACTGTTTCATAAGTGCCTCATGAAAAGTAAAATTAACAGTGGTGTTCATTGATTCGCTCATCTATTCATTTATTTAACAAACATTTATTAAACACCTCGTATGTGCCAGGCATTGCACTGTGTGATATTAACATGTTTACTGCAATGTCAAAATAATTTTCTTTTGTGTAAGTCTTGTATTCCATAACTTCTACACGTGACTGCAAATAAACTCTATTTTAGGAAAGAGTAGTTTAACAAGAAGAATGCAGAAGTAAGCCCTATAAATATTTTAAATATGGTGCGAATATTTCTGACTTTAACCAGAATTTCACAATGTACCTTTTTCTGAACATCCAAAATTCTTGCACTACCTGTTCAGTCAAGTAAGAATACAGGAAGAACTTGAGTGCATACGAGTAAAACCCTAAAATAAAAATTCTCATATTGATTATTCATAACAATATCTTTTAGGGGCAGTAAATTTTTGCACTTAGATAAAAAGAAATGACCTTAAAAGCTGGTGTTAGTTTTCTTTTTCTATCAAGGAATTAATAGGGCAATGACCAATAACTTGTGGATTGTTGGGGATTTATACAATTCCTAATACTTTTAAACTAACGATCATTCCATAATCATCTACCCAGTTATACACAGTTAAAAACTTGTATCTGACAAAAGAAATCAGCTCCATCTTCTTTTGCATACGGGTTAGCTTTTCCAGCTGCACCTGCTCACTGGCCGCTCCCCATTTCCCGGTAAGTACGTAACACTGGGAGGAATTTGCCCTTTTATCTCTTCAAGAAAAAAGTTTGAAGTATACTTGGCAGGTCAATGTTCAGCCACAGAAATCTCAGCGAAAAACAGCCACCCATTTGAGGGTAGCCTGTTTCTCATGCACCTGCAGCCGACCGAGCTTGGTGCTCGCGGGCAGACTCAAGGCGGTCAGAACATGTTCTGAGGCATCCCTGGAAAACAGCAACTGTCTCTGGCGAGGAGCAGTAGGACAGGCTTAAAATGAATTCTTTCCCTGGGGAAGAACAAAGCACGAGTTAGATTTTGAGGAACCACAGTTGGCCTGGTTCTTGCCCCCAGAGAATTTGGAACTGAATAGGCCATTCTTGGCCCCATTGTGCATGGAGCCCTCATCTATCTTGATTAAATGAGCCTTGAATGCTCGCTTTGGCAGCACATATACTAAAATTGGAACGATACAGAGAAGATTAGCATGGTCCCTGAAAAAGGAAGACATGCAAATTCATGAAGTGTTCCGTATTTTTTAAAAAAAGAAAAAAAAATGAGCCTTGAATTTTGGAGCTCCCCTCTACACATCTTTAGCAAATTCAGGGGCCAAAAGCCCTTCTTGATACCTGACTTTGTCATCATGCTTGCGACTGAAATCCAGTTTTTCCTGTGTAATATTTTGTGGAAACTGGGAGGCCTTTAAATACACAAAAGAAACATTTGTTTATTATTACCAAATTAAAAAGAATCATAGAATGTTTAAAGTTCTAAATTGATTTAGAATTCATTTAGAATAATAATAATTCCTTGCACAAGGCTGGTAGACACGTTGTTTTGGCCTCTGTCCACCATCCCTTCCCTCTTCTTCAGGGAACAGCACTTCACTTTTTCCTTTGGGCAACTACCTTCGCCCCACTATTAGTCCACGAGGTTTATATGGGACTCATTCTACCCCCTAGATCCAGAAGAGGGTGTAAAGAGGGTCCACATCCCCTGACCACAGTGATTGCTTCGAGAATGAGCACCCTGTCCAGGTTGGGCCGGTGAGACCCACCCTAATTTTTTTTTTTTTTTTCGGTACCCGGGCCTCTCACTGTTGTGGCCTCTCCCGTTGCGGAGCACAGGCTCCGGACGCGCAGGCTCAGCGGCCATGGCTCACGGGCCCAGCCGCTCGGCGGCATGTGGGATCCTCCTGGACCAGGGCACGAACCCGTGTCCCTTGCATCGGCAGGCAGACTCTCAACCACTGCACCACCAGGGAAGCCCCGAGACCCAGCCTAATCTGATGGAGTTTCCGAAGCTTGTCCCCGGGGTCCTGATTAATACATGTGTAGCATTTTACACGGAAAGCTTAAGGAGCTTCTTAAGGTCACAGCAAGTCATTTACATTGTCAGCTTCTCCTGATACTGGCCCACTTTCTAGTTGGGAAACAGTGATACCAAAAGATCATTTCAATAATACATTAAGAGCATTCATTCATTCATTCAAGTATTCATTGAGATGATGAATACTACTAGATGCCCGGTTCTGTGCAAGAGATGGAGTTTGACTGAAACAGCCATGATTGCTGCCCAATGATGTTCTGAAAGATATGTATATGGGCACACACAGGAGGGGCATGTAACCTACCCTGGATGTGTTCATATGGGTGACCAGGAAGGCTTCCTGGAGAAAGAGACTGGCTTCCTAAGTACCTCTGCATCTATTCTCCTTTAATTTTAATTTAATCTCATCCTCACAGCTACTGTCTTAGTTCAGGCTTTTTTTGTTTCACATCTGAATTATAGCAAGAGCTTTCTAACTGGACTGGATACTTCTACTCTTATCCTGGTCCCTAATATCCAACTCATTCTTTAGTGATGACAGAATGATTTGTTTCTTAGCAACATTTTACTGACATATTATATACATACATAAAATTACATATGTAAGCATACAGCTTGATGAATTTCCTCAACCAAGCACACCCATTAACCAGTGCCCACATCAATAAACATGGCCACCACACCAGAAGCCCATCTCACGTCCTCTTCTGTATACTCACCTCCTCCCACAAATGAGTTTTTAAAAATACTAATCTCAGGGCTTCCCTGGTGGCACAGTGGTTAAGAATCCGCCTGCCAATGCAGGGGACACAGGTTTGAGCCCTGGGCTGGGAAGATCCCACATGCCGCAGAGCAATTAAGCCCATGTGCCACAACTACTGAGCCTGCGCTCTAGAAGCTGCAAGCCACAACTACTGAAGCCTGTGCAACTAGAGCCCGTGCTCCGCAAGAAGCCACCGCAATGAGAAACCCGCGCACTGCAACGAAGGGTAGCCCCCGCTCACCACAACTAGAGAAAGCCCACGCACAGCAACAAAGACCCAACGCAGCCAAAACTAAAATAAATAAAATAAATTTAAAAAAGAATACTAATCTCATTATATTGCTCCCTTGCTTTGTTACAGCCTTTCAAGGACTCTCCACAGGCTTCAGGATAAAACCCCATCTCCTTAGCCAAACTAAACTCTTGTAATTCCTAACCTCCTATCCTGGTTCTCACTGCCTGGCCTTTGCATATGCTGCTTCTTCTGTTTAGACTAATGTCTCAGCCCTCTTCCTCCCCCATTTTAATCATTCCTAATTATTCCAGGAACCACCTTCCCAAAACCTTCCAAGATCCCTTCCTCTCCATAGATTCTGAAAGGTAGAAATAGTGTTTTTCATCCCAGTTTCCCAGTTGGCTAAATGAATAAATGAGAACACCTGGCTTTATTACTTTCCCTTAAAGCCTTTCCTCCTCTTGCTTCCTCCCCTCCATCCCTTTTAAGTAAGAACAAACCATTGCCCGGTGAATAAATGCATATAGTTTGTAGGTAAGTCATGACTTTTTCACTGATCCAGCCACAACCTTCTGCTTGGTATCCCCTCGCATACACCAAGATATGACTGAAGTAGGGACGGTTTGTGGTCCTGCACCCTACCAAGATAAGTGGACACAATGGAAATTGATATTCATGAGATCTGAGCCATTCTGCCAGTAAAAAGTTGCTTTAATTGGAATATCTGAAGGATCTAAGGGAAAATTGGGAGTGGGGGGAGGATACAAGCAAGTAGGCTAACATTTACCAAATGCCAAACACAATGTTAGGCTCTATCTATGATGTCTTATTTAACTGAAGTTGGGGAGGAATGGGCATAAAGGTATAGATTTTTGAATTGCATAAAAAGAAAAGCCAATATGTCCTTTCCTTCCTTTGGTTGAAAAAAGTTATTCATGCATTTATAGCTTTTTCTTTCTAATTAAAAATAAGAGTGGAGAATCACTGAAATTTCTAATTTCAAAGACAATTTGCTTAACTAGCTTGAAAAATGATTCTATAAAAACATTATAAAAGTTTTTGGTGTGTAGGAGAAAGTATCACTAGGTTGATGGGTACAGCCAGAGCACCTAACGCTGTCCATTCAGCTCCCAAATTGTCACTGTGGGTGGGCAGGTAATGCCACTTGAAACTACCTAAATGAAACCATTTTTATAGAAGCTTTTACAATCTGTACTTGGTTTTCAATGAAAAAGTTCTGCACAATAAATCCAAATGGCATAACATCAAAAACACCTGACAGGATGGCCCCATTCCCAGCAAGTCTACTTATTCCCTAACATCTTGTAACTTACATGGCACTGGGCTGGGGCACCACCAATGCACTGCTGTGATCTAAAAATTCTCTCAAAACTGCCTCCTCTCCTTAGGTCAGCAGCCCACCCATGCCCTATTTAGAACTTTGCTGAATAAAAGTTAAATTACATAAATGAGGACCAAAATCCAGAAATTCAAATTCAAGCCATCAGGGGAAAAAAAACTCCTTAAGTCAAGGTAGAAGCAGATGCCTCAGTTGCTTCATTGATAAACCTGAAGAGGCCACTGTGATACTTACCCTTTATACCCTAAACTTGGATGCTATAATATTTATCTTAGTCATCGTTTTATAGTTCAGAGTGTTTTGCTGGATGTTCATGAGTGCAGATATTAAGCTGTTTCTTAAGTGCTTAGTAAAATTAATGGTGTTGTTCATTCATTCATCCCACTGAATAGGCAGGAAATTCATAGCTCTGGTACAAAGAAAGCTATGAGCCAGCAGGCAGAAGCGTTCATTCAGTGGGGGAGCGAAGAAAAAGAACGTGTTTTCATTGCTCAGAAAATTTTCGATTCTTCTCTTTCCTCTTTTGGGGCTGTAGGCAAAGCGAATGTTCTCCTGACAGTAGGGTTTCCTTGAAAACTTGGTTTCACAAAATGCACCACCTTTGTGGGCCGCGCCGCGGGAGCCGACTGCACTACCTGCCTGCATCGGCGGCAGGTCACGAGGTCAAGGTCGGCTTCGCGTAGGCTGCGCCTCTTTCAGCACGTTTCCTTGGCCTCGCAGGCTCCCTCCCTCCGGCAGGCGTCGCTGGCCATTGATGGGGCGAGAGGAAGGAAGCGGATCTTCGATCCCGCCCGGAGGCTCGGCACCCCTGGGCCGCCTTCCTCCCGTGCCCGCCTGCGCTCGCGCCGCCGCGGCTCCTGGAGGGCCTCGCGCCACCTGCCGGCGCCCAGGGATGAACCGGGCCCTCACTCTGGAAGGCAAGGATATGGGCGGCCGCGATTGACGGCTCGGGCGCAGCTGGGAGGGAATCCCCGGCGGGCGAGAGCGCCAGCGCCAGGCCAAGGCGTGGGGTACGCGGAGAGGTCCGGGATCACGGCGACGGCATCCGGAGTCGCGGACGGGGCGCTGCCGGGGAGTCCGGGAACCCTGGAGCGGCCGGGGAGTGGGCGGAGGTGCCGCAGGAGGCGTCCGGGGCTTGGCCGGGCTGGTCTGGTCGGGCGTGCAGTTGAGGGGAGGGGCGGGGCTGCGCCGGGCTGGGCCGCCGGATCTGCTTCCCTCGCCCTGGACCGTCGCTGGGCGATGAGTGTTGGGGAAGAGAGGAAGACCTGCGGACCTTTAGATCCTGGGACCGCCCTTTCCCGCTCCAGGTCGGGCGGCGAGCAGCAACGAAGGCTGGACGCTCAGTGGCAGCATGAGAGCGGGCGCCGCCGCTCCGGGCTTGCGGCCGCGCGGCAGTCGGTGGCGGCTCTGCCGGCGCTCGCCATGGGCGCGCGGTGGGGCGGGCGGCGCACTCCGCGTGGAGGCCTGAGGCTGTCCGAGGCCCATCTGGCGCTGATGGCCGCCAGCCTGGTGTGCAGCGCCGTGGTCGTCTATGTTTGCTGGAAGCAGCTGCCGCCCCTGCCCTGGGCCTCCTCCGTCCCGCCGCAGCGGGTGAGCGTGCTGCTGTGGTGGGAGCCCTTCGGGGGCCGGCACAGAGCCAAAAGGCCGCACCCCGATTGCCGGTTGCGCTTCAACATCAGCGGCTGCCTCCTGCTCACTGATCGCGCGGCCTACGGGGAGGCCCAGGCGGTGCTTTTCCACCACAGAGACCTGGTGAGGGGACCCCCGGACTGGCCCCCGCCCTGGGGCGTCCACGTGCGCCCGGCGGAGGAGCAGCAGGTGCTGATGGACGACGAGGAGGAAGCCGCGGAGGCCTTGGCCCTGGCTGCCTCGGGCCCCAGGCCCCCCGGCCAGCGCTGGGTGTGGATGAACTTCGAGTCGCCCACCCACTCCCCGGGACTGCAGAGCCTGGCAGGTAACCTCTTCAACTGGACGCTCTCCTACCGGGCCGACTCGGACATCTTCGTGCCTTACGGCTACCTCTACCCCAGGACCCATCCCAACGAGCAGCCGCCGGGTCTGGTCCCGCCGCTGGCCCGGAAACAAGGGCTGGTGGCCTGGGTGGTGAGCAACTGGGACGAGCGCCAGGCGCGGGTCCGCTACTACCGCCAGCTGAGCCAGTACGTGACCGTAGACGTCTTCGGCAAGGGCGGGCCCGGGCAGCCGCTGCCTGACGTCGGGCTCCTGCACACGGTGGCCCGCTACAAGTTCTACCTGGCCTTCGAGAACTCGCAGCACCTGGATTATATCACGGAGAAGCTGTGGCGCAACGCCTTCCTGGCTGGGGCGGTGCCGGTGGTGCTGGGCCCAGACCGTGCCAATTACGAGCGCTTCATGCCCCGCCGTGCCTTCATCCACGTGGACGACTTCCCTGATGCCTCCTCCCTGGCGGCCCACCTGCAATTCCTCGATCGAAACCCAGCTGCCTACCGCGGATACTTTAGCTGGCGTCGGAGCTATGCCGTGCACGTCACCTCCTTCTGGGACGAGCCTTGGTGCCGGGCCTGCCAGGCTGTGCAGATGGCTGGGGACCAGCCCAAGAGCGTCCCTAACTTGGCTGGCTGGTTTCAGCGGTGAAGCCACCCTCCCCTGGCTGTAACCCAGGGAGGCCAAGTCGTCGGCTTTTGGATCCTCCGCTGTGCATCTCCTTAACTGCCGAATCATGGGACTGTATTTTCCAAACACCCATTTTTAATCTATTCCCATAGATTAAAGTTGATTTACCAAGTAATATTATTCAGCACAAAGACTGGGTGGGAAGGGTCCTGGGTGCTCATGGTTTTTGGACAACTAGCAGTTGGGCTTCCTCTGCTGTCCAAGGGCATCTGAGCTCTGGGGTGAAGATGGGGCCCTTCCTCCCCTTGTAACCAGTGCAGAGGTGAAGAAACAGCTTACCTACAAGAAACAATTGTCAGTGGCTCTGAATTTCCTCATCTGCCACAGGCCATATTTGTGGCCTCTGCTGAGTCCAAATCTCACACAATGCTCCTCCACTCACGTGACTGGGCCAAATGCGGCAAACCCCTGGTTTCAGAAAGAGCCTTGTTGCAGGATAGAGAAAGGACTGTGGCCACAGGTGGGTCTTTCTCTTTGTGCCTGGATTTCTCAAAGCGTCATCTCCTAAGAAAGGTGAGGAGGGTGGTCCAAGAATCCACTGACTTCCTTAACAAGTGCTGTTGTTTGTTCCCTTGCTTTATGAATGGAAACAAGATGCTGGATTGTGCTTGGAGAAGAGTTAGGATGAATATTTGGTGTACCTCACTTTACACAAATGTATTCTTGAAAAGCCGCTTTTAAATCAAATTCACTGTTTTAGAAGAGCGCAATATTTAATGGAACCCTATGGAGAATCCCTTTATAATGTGAATAGTCATCTGCTAACTGATTTTTTCTGTGTCTATGTTTTTCTATAACCCGGATCTTTTAAAAAGCATATTAAAATTACAGATGTGAAAATAAAGCAGAAGCAACCTTCTTCTCCCTCCCTCCCAGAAAACCAGCCTGTGTTTACAAACAGAAGAGAAGGAAGCCACAGTGTCACTTTCCACAAAATTATTTATTTTGTGTCTTTACTGGAGCTGAAATTTAAAACTGGAAAGTCAGTCCTCCATGGGGTCCTGGCATTACCTGTCTGCAGAACAATGAAAGGGATTGCACTGTGTTATGGAATCATGCAAAAGGAAAAAAGTTTCCTGGTGTCTGTTAATGGCAGTTTTTGATTCCGTTTTAAGTTAAATGTTTAGTTGCTAGGGAATAGAACTTAATCAGTGCCTGCAGTCAAAACTTTATCTTTTGTTACAGAAATCTGTAATTCTCCCTGGGGCCACCAGGTTCCCCTCCTGGTCTGCCCAGTAGTGCAGCGGATACATCCTCACATTTCTAGTGCCCTTGAGACTGTGCTGTGGGACCAACTTTGAAAATATATGCATTGACTTTAAAAGTTGTTGAATGAACAGCATATTAGGTGTCACCATGTACCTGCACCACGTGAAACACTGAGCTTGGGAAAAACAAAAATGTGTAAGGCTAGGTTCCTCTCTTTAAGGCTCTTATAATCTACCACCGTCAAAAAGTAAATAGTGGACTTTGATAAATCACTTGGCAGAACTTATTTGTTTAAAGTAACGTTCTTTTTTAAAAAATTTAATTTATTTTTGGCTGCATTGGGTCCTTGTTGCTGTGCGCAGTCTTTCTCTAGTTGCGGCAAGCGGGGGCTACTCTTTTTTTGTTTGTTTGTTTGAATTTATTTTATTTTATTTTTGGCTGTGTTGGGTCTTCGTTGCAGTGCGCGGGCTTCTCATTGCGGTGGCTTCTCATTGTGGAGCACGGGCTTTAGGCGCCCAGGCTTCAGTAGTTGCAGCACACGGGCTCAGTAGTTGTGGCATGTGGGCTCTAGAGCACAGGCTCAGTAGCTGTGGTGCACAGGCTTAGTTGCGCTGCGGCATGTGGGATCTTCCCGGACCAGGGCTTGAACCCATGTCCCCTGCATTGGTAGGCGGATTCTCAACTACTGCGCCACCAGGGAAGCCCAAGGCTACTCTTTGTTGAGGTGCGTGGGCTTCTCAATGTGGTGGCTTCTCTTGTTGCGGAGCACGGGCTCTAGGCGCGTGGGCTTCAGTAGTTGTGGCACACGGGTTCAGTAGTTGTGGCTCACGGGCTCTAGATTGCAGGCTCAGTAGTTATGGTGCACGGGCTTAGTTGCTCCGCGCGTGTCCCCTGAATTGGCAGGCGGATTCTTAACCACTGTGCTACCAGGGAAGCCCCCATTTTTTTTTTTTTTTGGTGGTACGCGGGCCTTTCACGGCTGTGGCCTCTCCCGTTGCGGAGCACAGGCTCCGGACGCGCAGGCTCAGCGGCCATGGCTCACGGGCCTAGCCGCTCCGCGGCATGTGGGATCTTCCTCGACCGGGGCGCGAACCCGTGTCCCCTGCATCGACAGGCGGACTCTCAACCACTGCGCCACCAGGGAAGCCCAAATATGTTGACTGGGCATTAATCCAGTGGGTTTTTTTGGTTTTTTTTTCCTTTTTTTTTTTTGATTGACATATAGTTGACTTACAGTGTTGTGTTAGTTTCAGGTGTACAGCAAAGTGATTCAGTTAATATATATATTATATATGTAGTATATATATATAATATATATTCTATATAGCATATATATTATAGATAATATATCTTCTTTTTCGGATTCTTTTCCACTATAGGTTATTACAAGTTATTGAATATAGTTCCCTGTGCTATACAGTGGATCCTTGTTGTTTATCTGTTTTATATATAGTATTGTGTATCTGTTAATCCCAAACTCCTAATTTGGGGGGGAGGGATAAATTAGGAGTAAAGTGACATTCTTAATAATACCATAAATCAATTATTAGAAAGCCAGTTGATTTAAAGCCTGAAATAATGGGTTTGTTTTCTCCTCAGTTTATTATAATAAGCACCCTCAGTGACTGTTGTGGGTAGGGTCCAAGATTAATTAGGTTTATACAGAATTCTGCTGTAAACAGTAATTGCATTCGATTAGTACAATTAGCTGAATCATAAAGTAACTTTTATCTCTATGCATTTGTTCAAAAAGCTCACTAACGTCTAGGTGCTTCAATTCTCCCTTTTCCTTAAAAGGAGAAATTGAAATCCCTGGATAAAATGTCCTCATTAAAATATTATAGTATGGGCAGAATTATCAAATTATCAATAATTTTATAATTATCAAATTATATCAAAATAGAACCCCCAATAAAGAAGGAAAGATTCTATTCTTAAAATAAGTATTTATGAATTATTGGTCAGTGGTCTTGGTGTTATTGGGAATCTACATGGGACAGTGGGGGATAGTTTGAAGGTAATCTGCCTTAACTCTGAATTCCAGCCATGTGACCTTGGGCAAATTAGTAATAACCCTGAGCCTCAGCTTTCTTAACTGTAAAATGGGGCAAGAAATGACTTCACAGCTCCTTATGAGCTGTTCAGGAAATAAAGTAATAAGGTGCCTAACACATAGTGGTGACTCAATTGGTGACAGAGAGATAGGTTTATTTCCCTTCTTGCAGTGATTTCAGGGTGCCTCCATATCCATTTATATGGATTGTAGAATTAAATCTCAGGGTATGTTACAGAATATATCTGAAATAAAAAGGAAGTGGCCTCATATCATGTATTTCAAATGAATCCCTAAAGCTCAGCCATACTATTTCAAGAGTCATTACTGCCATTTAGATTGAGCTAGAATTTGCAGACTAGGAAGAAACACTATGCTTTCTGTGAAATAAAAAATTGTTTTTGTTCTGGTTAATTTATATTGTTAAATAAGTATTATTTTACTAACGCTTTCCTTGGTATTAACTCTATTTAAAGCTAACCATGTTATTTATTGAATACTTAGCATGAGGAAGGTATAATTGCAGTTTTATGTGCAAATTTAGGGTAAGGAACAAACTATATTTTTAGGCTAATTTCATCAAACAGCCAGAGAAATGCGGCAATTGCTCATTTTATGTGATTTCATTTTTCAAGTCATTCTAATTTGAGCAGGTTAAAATTTCACATACGCTAATATAAAAATACATAGAGACGCATCACATGTATTTCAAAATGGCTTTCATAAACTTCTTTCAAATGTATTGCAAATTTAATTTAATATTTTTAGTGCTCGATGACTTTAATTACACGAGTACGCCTGAAATATTTGCATCAAGAAGACAGTCTGACTTGCTTTCAGTATTCACAGGTCCTTTCCAGTTTCCAAACCCTTCCTCAGCAGTAATTTAGAGGAGACAGGGTAGCTTCATGGAAAGAGCTCGCAATTTGGAGTCAAAACCAGGGTGTGTGGTTTTGCCACTTTCTGCCCCTGTGGCCCTGATTAGGCGCGTTACTTAAATTAGCGTCCTCCTTTATAATGCATGAATGCCCCTGCAAAACAAGGATTAAATGTGTTTGCCAGGGTGCTTTGTACATTGTAAAGTGCTATACAGTTACAGGATGCTCCAAATTTTCAAAGCTCTAGAGCAGGGATCAGCACACTTTTTCTGTAAAGGGCCAGAGAGGAGATATTTCAGGCTTTGCTGGCCATACAGTCTCTGCTACCACTACTCACCTCTGCTGTTGGTAGTACAAAAAGCAGCCACTGACAATCTGTAAACAGAGGCGGTGCCGGGATTTGGCCTGTGGGCTATAGTTTGTTAACTCTGCTCTAGACTTTTAGAGATAGGAATTTGAGAACCTACCTGCTGGGGTTTTCTTAGAAGGGATTTACGAATTGGAATTAGAGAATTTTGGAGGCAGTTACTAGACCAGCTTTGCAACGTTTCCTAATTGTCTCATCTCGGGTAAATTATTTAAGCTTTCTGCGTATTGATATTCTCATCTCTAATTGAAGGTAATCATATATAATTTATGGAGGTGTTGGGAGAATTAGAAAAGACACTTAAAGTACTCAGGACAACGTCGGGCACACAGGAAGCACCTGGAAGATGTTAGCTGTGATGATCACCAGTCCATTTTACAGAAGAGGGACCTGGTTAAGGACTTAGCTAAGGTTACAGTGATAGCGGCAGAACCAGCCGTGCTTGTGCAAGTCACAACTCCTTTGAGCCTCTGTCACTTGAACTGCAAAAGGAGGGGGTTGGACAACGTCTTCTCTTGGGACCTTCTAGTTCCATTGCCCTCATTCTACTAACTGGCACCCTAGGGCTTAAAGAACTAATTTACCTCCCTAAGTGCCTTCCTTACAGTCTGGAAATGACTTACTACACAGCATCAGTAA